TGAAGCTGATTCTTTTTTTTTTTTTAATTTTCATTTTGTCAATATACAATGTATATGATTATTATGGCCCATCACCGACACCTCCCNAAGTATCCTTATTTTACACTTGCACTTAGTTTATAGTTTGATTAGGTGTAGAATTCTAAATTAAAAATCATTCATCTTAGAATGTAAAAGTAATTCTTCATTTTCTAGCTTTCAGTGTTGCCATGAGAAATCTGAAGCTGATTCTGATTCCTAACAATTTTTTTGTTCTCTCTGTTTTTCTGATGGGTTGTAGGATCTTCTCTGTGTCCCCAGTAGTCTGAAGTTTTATGAGTTCCAAAGTGTGACTCCTTTTCATCCATTGTGCTGGACATCTAGTGAATTCTTTTAACCTGCTAACTTATGTTCTTATCTTGAATTATTTCACTGATATATTCACTCCCTATATTTGCTCAGTTCTCTCTTTTTGGAACTCCTATTATTAGATATTGGACTTCTTAGACCAGTCCTCTAATTTTCTTTTTTCTTTTTTTTCTATTTTCTATCTCTTCGTATTTTTGCTTTTCTCTCTGGAAAATTTCTGAACATTTTATTAGATACTTGGGAGTTTTCATTTCTGCTATTATCCTTTTAATTCCCAAAAGTTCTTTCTTAGTCTTCCAAATGATCTCCCTTATTCTTATAGTACACTGACAATTAGGCAGTTTCTTAAACAGGTTTTCAACTGATTCCTCTTATTTTAATCCCCAGCCCCTTACTCTCCACTTCCACAGGCACCCAGTGACTCTAATTAGTCAACCTTTGGGGAATGATTAAATGTTGCCTCTTCATATTGCTGGTTCTTTCTGGGCTGCTTGCTACATAAGTTGCCATTTATCTATTTACGTGTTCGAAAATTTGTTAATAGTTCTATATTTATTTTCACAGTTATCTTTTATTTGTGGCAAACACTGTTTATTATTTGTGTAGCCAGCTTCCTTTAAAATTGACTTAAGGTATTTAAAAAGGAGAGTAAATTGAAAAAAATCAGTAATAATATAGATGGTTGTAGCTACTGTAAAATAAATATTAAATTTATGATACTTGTCATGATGTAGAGGAAATTCAAAGTAAGATGGTTAATACTTACATGATTACTTTTTCTTCACTTATTTTCTTCCTCTAATTAAAAAATGTAGATCATCCTCATGTTGAACATCTGATTTTTTTCTTTCCACCATAGTTTTTACATCATTTAAATGTCATTTTTATTTTCATTGTGCAACTTTTTTCTTGCATTCGATGTGAAATGCAAGCAAAACTGGATGCTGCTAAAACAAAGCCAGCTGTGTTTACTTGACTTTGTAAAGTCTCAATAATAATTTGTAATGAGATTAGTGTAACTGTTTTGGCACTAAATACTTGCCAACTTACTGTATTCATGATAAGACAGAGGAAGATGAAATAATTACACATTAACAACTAAATTAGTTTTCAGCCCAGTATACATTGAGAATTGTTACACATTTGGTTTCTTACTGTGGGAGAGGCATGTAATAATTGGCTTCCTGGTTGAGATAGGTTATATTACACATAGGACTCATCTGCCTCACACAATTCTCAGAATGTTATCTTAATGGGTGGGACTAGATGGAGTGAATTTTGTGGCACTGAATGCCTGGAGTGTCATTATCTTGTAACAAATCCTCCATCTTTTCTACCATATTCCTTGTCTGTCTGAAGCAGATACAGAACATCATTTCTCAAAGTATATGTCTGAAGACAAAAGTGACAGAGATTTCTAATTTTGAGAAAGTCTTTTGTGAGATTTGCATTTATGATGCTCTTAAGAGAAACAATAATCATTTATATTGTTACCTTTGTCATTTAAAACTTACAAGGGAGAGAATAGAACTTTGATGCCAAAAGTGATGGAAAAAGAAATAATGATGCAATCAGGACACAACTAAAGGGCCTAGATTGTTTCTTTTGTTTGTTTGTTTGTTTGTTTTTGACAGATCTAGTTAAAGAAGAAAGGAGGGCAGCTCAAAGATACAAGTATATTCTTTAATACATCTAGGATTTTTGTTTCTTGTAATTAAAAAATATATATATGCAACAACGGACCTTATTAAAGTTGGATTTTCTTTGATTGAAATGTTTTATTGTATTTATATTTTGATAGTATTTTCACTGATTTTCTTTTCTGGTTTTTGAGGTTTTTTTTTTTTGCCAGGGGTGGGGGAGCAGCTGACTGGTAAAGTGATCTGAACCTTTGACCTTGGTGTTATCAGCACTGAACTCTAACCGGCCCCAGTATTTTCAGTGATTTTTAAAAGATTAAGTAAATTAACATTTGGTTATAATAAAAGGAAATATTCAGAAGAAATTCTGATCATATTTCATATAAAGAATATGATTTCTTCTAATCAAGTTAATACCTTCCATATCTCTGACTTGTTTCTTATTTAAGGGAAACTTAAGTGTCTAAATTGTTGTATTGTTGAAGAATCTCTGCTTAAGATATATAGGAAAATGCTGTCCTTCATATTATTTCCTACTGACACACCATCAGTTAGAATATGCTTTTTAGTTATTTTTTCAGTATTCATAATAGATTTACATTTTTTTCATCTGCTTCACTCAGTCCCCTTGGAAACCAGTAATCAGTCTCTTCCTCCTCTCTCCACCTCTCTGATTCTCTTTCTTCCCTCTCTGTCATCCTCTCTCCTAATCTCCCTTCCTTTCTTAATAGATTTGGTACAAGTGGGGTAGGAAATACAAACTAAAGCATATTAAAGCAACTCTTTACTCCCTTGCAAACCCTTAGTATATATTCTGGATTTCCTTTAAAAATTTTTTTGGTTTTTGGTTTGCTTCAGTCGTTGTCTCTATTATACTATCATCATTTTCTCAGC